TTGTATGTGGTGAATTCTAGGGATATTTTGTCTAATTTTTAAGAAATATTTTATGTATCTTTTTCTGGATATTTTGAACAAAAACACTGGTAATTTTTTCATACAAAAACTTATATGATGCACTCTAAACTCTCAGTCTTACCCGTGAGTAACATAAGCATATTTGTTGAACCATATTAAATTGTTTTTTTTTTTTTTTTTTTTGTTTTACTCTTTGTGTTCCAACAAATAAATAAATGAGCAAAAACGAAGTAAACCAAAATTTTTACCGGGCATCTATAGAATTGACTGGTTAAAATTAAAATTCAAACTGGAATGAGTAGTTGATGTGATGCTTTTGCCTAACATAATTAGCATAACCAGACAAAGTAGAATAGAATTTTGTGTTTTCCGCTTGGTAATGAACGTGCTAGAAAATGACCAAATAAAATATGTTTAATAAAAACTGAATTCAAGGAAAAAGGATAAGAACAAATGAAGGAAAAGCAACTCTTGTACGCTTCTTCTGCATTGACTACATTTCCATCATATGAAAGATTAGCCACTAGCTAGTCTGGTAATGGAATTTTTAAATGGGTTTGCTTAATTAAATGTTTCCCTATATTCAATTAGTACATGTCTGGAGAAACCAATTATATACATGTAGGATATATATTACGTCTTCAGAGAAAAATAAAACAATTTTTAATACGTAAGAAGCTCTCTAGGGAGAGAATCTTGAACCAAATACAAGAGAAATCCACAAAGCTCTCTCCCCTGTTCATTTGCAAGCCAGAGTAAGGTAAAAGGGGGTGAAAAAAATTCCTAATACATAGAAGACACCAGCAAAATCCATAGCTGGACATGCTACCCTTCAATTTTGAAAACTTGACATTGAAAGTTGATCTTTTCTCTTTTTACAGAATCACCATATTCAATATTGGATTGAACAAAGAAATCTGGTGTCAAGTGGAGAAATTTTGCCTATGAAATCCTGCTTGGTGGACACCAGATTTTCTCAAGATGATACATACTTCTAAAGCCAACTCTACAAGATGCAAATATGGGGGAGAAAAGGAAGGAGGGGAAAAAAATCAAGCAGCAAACATGATAAACAAATTGACCTGTTTGCATCCAAGAGTCTGGAAGAAGAAGAGCTAGAGACTCGTACCACATAGTCATTAGGATCTATCTCTTAGTCCTGCTGGAGTCTCCTATCTTCCACTCGGACTCCCGGATTCTACCCTCAATGATCTACCACCAAGCAAAATGTAACCCAACCCTTGTCAAACTGGAACAAAATATTGAATACACTTTTTTATTTTTGAAAACTATGTCTCTGACTCTTCTTCCTCAACAGTTGGAAGTGCACCCTCCTTTATGAAAGATGGGTTAAGGAACTTTGCGATGAATGCCCACAACTTATAAACATCCTCAAAATTAGTGAGGAAGCCAAGTGAAGCTGTGACAACCTCCATTCGAACAAATACACTTTTCCCATTATGTCGCCCATTTTCCATTGGTCTGCACAGTGTAGCATCCTCGGGGCTCAGAGCACCATGCTGAAGTCTTGGGCTGTCCAAAATCCGTATGTGACTGAGAAAACCAATGCCAAGAGATATACCTTCTCTTTCAGCCAGCTTTTGGACCACTTCGGGATTGATCAGAACCCTGTTTCTGTCTCTCACATTGAATGCTATGGCTGCCCCTCTTTCATATTTTATCTTTGGACCATAGATCTGAACAAGATGCACCTTGCTATCTACGTTTGAACCAGGTATTCTAAGTTGCAGCAATGAGGTCACAAGCCAATTAATTAAAAACCGGAGTCTGATGGTAGTTTTATTGAGACCCAACATATTCACATGATCAAGATGCCGACAGATAATCTCAGGTTCTCTCCTGTCCCAATCTTGTCCATCAACATACTCTCCATCGCTGCTGTACTCTTCATCATCAAGGCTGGTTGCTGATATTTCTCCAGCTTCTATGGTATGGCTCACGCGTTCCTTGCGGCTCTCTTCCATGCTAAAGGACACCCTTCTTCCCCTGCTGGGATGTTCATCTTCCAATCCGAAAAATCTACCACCGGCATACCTGTTTCCTTCCCTTCTTCCCAACAGCCTAAACTCACCTTCCGTTTCTCTTCTTATAGCACTCTCTTTAACTTCTGGGAAAATTTCAGAGGTTGAACCATCTGCAAGGTTATGATGCTGAGAGTCAGAATTTAAATTGTTAGGAAAAGATCCATTTATGGCAGAGTTTGTCAGAGACCTACCAGGAGGTGGTTTGCTAGTCCCAGGTTCTTCCTCAATCTCCGGAATATGTGAATAATCTGCATCCTTGTTTCGTACATCTCCGTTTGTTCCCACCAATTTTTCTTCTCCTGTAACCTCCTTGACACGGTCCAATTCTTGGGATACCGATAGAACAGCAGCATCAAACGATAAAACATGATGGTCATCGTTTGGCCCTAGGTTTACCTCTTTGTCATCATATAATGGACTGCCATATATCTTTGCTGTTGGTTTTGGTGAGACTCGTTTATGGTTCTTCTGGCTGCTAAACCAGAAGGGTGGAAGTGGAGAGGCAGTTCTTTGTTTGTTTAATTGGTTCACACTATCAGATCCCAGCGGACTCTGACCCATATCAATCCCGAATGAGTTATCTGACGATTCATCTTCACTAAAGACTGGGCTTTTCATCACTTCCCCAACTGAAATACTCTCAGTTTCTTCAAAAATGGTGCTTGTTCCATCTCTGTCATAGCAATTTTCTTGATCCATTTCTGTCTCAAATACATCCCTCACCTGAGCAGATGTGAAAGCACCAGAGAAAGCAGGCAATTGCGACCCTGGGCGAATTTCAGAGGCTTTATCACCATTTACAGCATCGTTGTCATCTTCAATACCAGCCAATCTGTCCAGACCATCTACAGAATCACTGAGATACATAGGATATTCTGGGGTAATCTTCACCATTCCAGTACCTGTTTTCCCGTTCTGATTCTGAAGGCTTCCCATGACTGATTTCTTGATAAGGAGGCAGCCAAAGCCAGTTGGGTCATAGCCAAATACTCTATAAAATGAAGTTATAATGAAATCTGGCCGGAATAAGGACAACCCAAGTGAATCCATATCTTTGGGACCCAATGATCCGGCATCAAGCAGGACATGCCAATTATTCTGCTGTGCAAGGGCCATCCATTGATATGAATACTTAGCCCCAGTCACTCTAGATTGCACAGGGAACACAAATAACCCAGTAGCAGAATCCTTCTTCCGCCTCTTCTTGTTTGAAATTTGCTTTCTCAGATCTGTAGAGCAAAGTTTAAGGGTAGGCCACTTAAACCAAGCACTATAAACTTTTGCACCCTTCTCTTTAGCACTCTGAGCCATCCAATTCACAGACTGACTCTCGTGATCAAACATCGTCAACAATTTCTTATTGGTGTGGAAAGGATAAGATTCGGCCAGCAATTTGAAGGCAGACCCTCTACTCACAGTAAACACAAGGCCATATTCATTCTCAGGTATGTTCAGATAATCCATTATCCTGGCCTTTATATCATGTTCCACAGTGCCTTTCTCAGCACCACCATAAAGGGCATGATTACTCAGATTAGCAGTTATCTCAGACAGGCTAAATGTGGAGGACTCCCAATAATGCAGTGTTTGGACATAAGAAAATAGCCCAAATCCACAGTAATCAAGGCATACCTTTGGCGACAAATGAGCATACTCATCAGACCTCAACTGATCAATCTTCTCAGAAGACTGATATTTGGGATACATAGTGATGAACTTGTTGAAGGCATCGCGGAGATCAGGTATGGAATCTTCTGTCTCGAATGTGCGCTCTGCAGCTAAAGCAGTGGCACGCAGGAATTCCTTCTGGGCATGGAGCCTGGCGAGCGATCTTGACCTCCCCAGGCTCTCATCTTGGTTGCCAAGCGGCTCGGATTCCATGTCCTGGGACTTGGAAAGAGACCCATCTTCTGATGCTTCTTCAAGAGCTTCCCTCAGTTTATTCTCCTGCAGTTTGCGGAGAATTGATGGGTTCTTGACTTCGATTGTCGAATCCGACCCATCTCTCTTCCTGCTCTTCTTATCCAAGATCAGAGCAGCACAATGAGATATGGGTTTCCACAGTGACAGATGCATGAAAGCGTGACCCTACTCGAGACAACGAGCCCCGAAAGAAGAAACGCACCACACCCAGAAAAAGAAACGACCTATCCCCAAAGTAGGTACAGTTCTAAAACCCCAAAGCGAAGGCCTTGAGTCAGATCAAGAAAACCCTAATTTAGAAACTTCTCTTTTTTACCCAGAGACAAAAATGCAATCATAAGAGAATATGAAAGCTATCAGCAAATATGTGGCTCCAATCTGATTACATGCGAGACCAAGGGGATTAAGACTTAAAAAAATGGAAATAAAGAAGCCAAAACAAAGATAAAGTTGGAGAAAGTCAAAACTCCACTTCAAGAGAAAGTACGAGAGCTTAAACAAATTGAAGGAAGCCAAGAAAAGAGAGAATGAAACCCTAAGATCAGCTCAAAACCAAGATCCAAAAGATTTACACGAGACCCACTGATCCTTCCAAAGAAAAACAAAACAAAATGCAGAAGAGAAATTAAAGAGAATCAAGAATCAAGAAGTGAATCATATCTGAGACTGAAACAGAAACTGAAAAAGCAAAGGTGGAAACTTTCACATCGAATGCTCATCTCCTTGAGTTGAAAGTAATCGTAGAACAAAGCAATGCCGATAACCCGCTCCTTCTCTCTCATATTGACTCTCTCTCTCTCTCTCTCTCGCTCTCTCTCTAAAATCTTCCGCAATAACCTCCCCTAACAAAAACAGCGAGAAAGGACATTGACTTTCACAAACGTAAGTGGTGCTGCTGTTTTCTTTTCAATTAATTAACTTCTTTTCTTTCTAATTTAATTAATTATTAATTTACTATTATAATAATTTTCCAGATTGGCTGAGTGTGGGTCCCACTTAAATCCTTTTTCCTCCCTGCGGTTTTAGCTAAAAGTCAAACAATCAGCTGATTTGTAAAAGCTGATTTCTGTCCACCTGGGTAAAAAAACTTAGCTTTCCCCCACTAACAAGTTTAATTCTTAGATTAACACTAATATCTTAATTAACAACATGTTTTAATTTAATTCTTAGATTATAACTAAAATCTCGCTACCCCGGTCTGCTTCTCTCTCTTCTATCTCTGTTTTTGTCCATAGAATCTCCCTTCTTCCCCTTTTCCTTCTCTACTCTTAATCTTCACCATAATCACTTAAGGAACTCAGAGGCTTTGTCTTTCATCTCTCTTTCCTCCATCGAACACACAGTTCTGATTTCAGGTTGTGCCCACAACAGACTATATCCAATTCCATCTCATTTCATTTCAATCAATTCGACCCAAGTGGTAAAAGCATCCTTCCACTGTTTCTATGATTTTCTCTCATTGGGTTTGGTTGTTTACTTGATTCTTAGCTTCAGACAAATTACTGAACTCTCTTAGGGATCTGACCTGATCATGGAATCTCTTCTTGATTCCAACTCTTCCCCAATACTTCTATTAAAGAACCTCTTCTTTATGCTCTTTCGTTGAGGAACTTTCAATTCTTTTATTAAGGAAGATTGTTTTCACATTCATCTCCAAAACTTTCTACTCGTAGTAGGCCAAACTTGCAAGTAAAATTTGAATAAGTTTTCTAAGTTGTAAACTTTTGGTAACTAACATTTTCTTGTAGGCTTCAATGCTTCCATTTTGTGCCTCAACTTCTTTTTTTTTTTTTTTGCCACTTGCACCTTTGGATTGAATATTTTCAATTGGGTTTACTTAGATATAGACTTATAGAATGCATTAATTCTATTTTAGATTTTATGACTTCTTGATTTTTGTTTTTTTTTTCAAAAAAGTAGGCATTAGTTATCTCTTTAATGTAGATTTTATTATTTATATTTTATAAATGTCTTAATATTATTATTTACACTGAATCTGTAATAACTTTTAAATAGTCTGAACTTCTTTAATAAAAGTCATAAAATTTAAAATAGAAATATTACTTTCTAACAAGTTTAGACCTAAATGAATTTATTAAAAAAATTTCAAATCAAAGGTGTAAGTAAATCTAAAAAAAAGTTAAGTCTTATCTTTTATGAATGTTTTAATATTATTATGTTGGTGACATAAAGTAAAATTTCATAAAAATAATGAAATTAAATTTTTTGGAGTCTTGACTGATCCTATTAGAAGCATGCTCAATTACTAAAAATTCATTGATAATAAGGTGTAAGACACATTAACTCGAGATATAATTTAATTAATTATCATTAACATGCATAATTTTTTATAGCATTTTAATTAATTAATTAATTTTTTGTTTATTTTATTATCATCATATTCATTAACATTCTCATACTGATGTATATGATGTGATGCATTTATTCATCCTCAATTTATTTTATATTTCAAAGTTAACAAAAGAACTGAGGATTTAAAATACACCGAAATCAAAGTAAACTAAAACCTAAAGGGGAAGAAAGAAACAAATGCAATCTAATAGGTTGATGTCTTCAAATGCTCATCCCCTTCAAAAATCTCCATCACTCTAAAACCTCAATGTGGTAATTGCATCAAAGCGTACAAAAGTCTCTTTTGTTGTCCATGATATCTCTTTCTTTAATTATTATTGTTATTATTATTTTATTATTATTATTATTATTTATCCTATTCATTTATTTATTTTTACTTAATTGACTTTGAATAAAGCATATAATTAACAAAGTTTTGGTCCAACATAAATTACAAATTCCATTTAAAAATATGGCCTAAAAATTTTCTAACTACCAGAAATCATTCATGTAGATAGATTAATTAAAGTATAGAGCAAAATAAAAAAGTCCAACATATACTACAACAAAATAATCTATGTTTTATTAGAGCAAACAATATCTTCATGTTTCTAAGTCATAGACAAAATATGCTTTATGCTAAAAACATTCATAACACAACAACATTAATTGGAGAAGCAATCTCATCTATCAAAAACATTAATTCAGACAAACTATACTAAGATTAAACTATGTCTAAAGAAATAACACCTAAAAAATTATATTTGTATCCGAATTAATGTAACACATGCCCTATGCACTTACTAGTTTAACCAAATCAATAACATGCTTTTTTTGTATTATTCGTTTGAACTAATTTAAGCAAACTTGGTGAGAAAACATACCTCAAAAGCGTCCATTTAATCCTTTAAAGAACATACTAAGCACCATAATTTTTTTAAATAAGCTTAAATACACTTTGTTTCAATAATTTTTGTTATATAACATGCAAGCAAACATTTCATTATGAATTTAACACATACTACTATATGTCTTTGATTAATCATGTTGTTTTAACTATTTGGTTTAGGTTGATAAATCCTTAATTATATAGATAAATATTGATGCACTTAGTGTGATCAAGATTCTAGAACGTTAAACTAACTAGGTGTTTCATAAGTAGGTAACAATTACGAGTTACATTTTATGCATCCTTTATTTAAGTTTTCCTTTCGGTTCCAAAGACATGTTAGTAGGACATAAAAGTTACTAATTCACAAGTAAAGTTACATTCATCCCTCTTATGAGTGTATATAAAGATACACCATATATGGGTAACACATAAAATAGTAGCATCATAAAACTAAATCATAAAAGATCTCATATTTAATAAAAAGATATTCGTTCATTTGATATCAAAAGACATGGTAATATGTAAAATTTCAAGCGCTTAGATAATTCTTGTTACCCTACTATAATAGAAGTTAATAGTCACCATGTGTCTTTACCATTTGATTATTAAGATTATGTTTCATTATTTTAGAATTATGACACTAACTTAAGTTCTTATAGGATATCATAAAATCTCATGGGTTGTTGATTACCGGGGCTAAAAGGTCTCTTATAGTGGTACAAAATATAAAGTAAGAGAATAAAAGCATTTTGTTTTGAAGATTATTAAGAAATCTTATATAAGACCCCTTTGGATCATCTTCATGTTTAACCAATATCCTAACACCTCTATAAGGCTAACTATCAACATGTTTAATGGTGCAACTTTCCAAATCTACATGTAAACCAAAAAATCATTCTTTTCTTTACTTTCATTTATAAACACTTTCACCCTTTCATAATTTTGAAAACCTTCTAAAGTCTTTTCACATTTTTCATGATTAAAATGATTGATAAAAATAGTGAAGGCCTCTGTATATTATTAAAATGATCAATAACAATTGAAAAGATCATGTTCACATAAGTGTTCTTAATCACTTGGTTTTTTTTTTCTTTTTTCTCATAGGTAAATTTTTTATGATTTTGAAACTCCTCTAATTGGAATTTTTTTTTACATCCTCAAGCTAATGATATATATTGCTCCTTTTGTTATTTTTATATTATACCTAAAAGGTTTATTCCCTTGGACCTTTCTAGAGATTATTTTGCCTTTTGATGTAGGTATTAGGTATTCATACATTTTCATCCCTATCTTCCTCTTAAATGTTGAAGTTTTCCATGATCTCATTTAGATTTAACAATTGTTGCTAGGCTAAGAGCTTCACATATCTATTCATTTCCTCCAATTAATCTTGGTGATGACTCCACAGTTAAGGTCCTTTCATGCACATCCCTAGCAAGTATCTCGTAATCCTCCTCGAAAATCATTTAATCTTCCTCCAGCTCAAGAGATTGGCCTCACTAGTGAAACTAATGTAGTTTTGTTTTCTACTTCTTCATTTTTGGTAGTCTTTCTTTATGTAACTATAATCAACTAATAAACTTTTCATTCCTGTGGATAACAAATAAGTTATGCAGATAACTTACTATTAATAACTTGATAGTAGGAAGTTGACCAAACATTCAAGATATATTTAAAATCATGAGTAGAGCTTGCCTCAAAAAAATTATTCTAAAAGAGAGACTTTAATACTTAAGTTGACACTTAGATTATCAATAGAAAAATAAGAAAATTACAGTGAGTTTTAGATAATAAACAATTAAGAGAATTAGGAACTTTTACTATAATAGGACATGAATGATGTGGAATCCAGGACCAACAATGTGATAAAAAAAACTTCACATATGCTCTAGTACTCATAATCGTAACAACTCTCAACAAACTCTTCCTACTTGACCTATATTCAACTTGTGAATGTCAACCAAGATAATTAAGATAAAGAGTGAATTGACCAAACGCCGCAAGAATTGTTTGTTGATAAGTAAAAATCAATTCAAGATAGATTAAAAAAATGTCACAAAGAATACTTTGATAAGTGGAATCAATCCTTCACTCAAAAAAAAGTTGAAGACACCCTCTTAAAGAGCACTCAAAATTAACAATGAGCTAAAAAGTAATAAACTTGAATATTATTGATTACATGAATTATTTTGAATGCAGTTGAAGGAGTGGTCTCTTTATATAGGCATCCACCATGTTTATTCTATGAGAAAACAAAATTGAAAATCCTAATCAAATTCTTAATTTTACCTTATTTAGGAAAGCATTAAAATATTAATTAAAAGATAAAAATTTAATTAAAACATAAACTTTTTTTTTCTTGAAGAATAAGTAGCGTTGTGGTCGAATTTTCTCTATTTGTTGTAGTCAAATAGGCTTTTAAATATTTAATTAATTTGTTGTAAGAGTCGGTGTTGAAGATGTTCAAAGAATCCTTCATTCCTTAAGTAGAAATCAAAGTTCTTCAATTAGAAGTCAAATTTATTCTTTAGTAGAAATCAAACTCCTTTAAGTAGAATTCCAATTAGGACTTTTGGATAGGAGAATAAATTCTTTTCCCTTGATGTTTCCTTTTTCTTCTTTAATTCTTGTG